GCATAGTTTGGATATAACTGAATTTATTTAATTAGTCCTCCTACTAGGCATTTTGGCTATTTCCTTTAAAAAAAGAACTTACAAATAGAACTGCTGCCAGGCATGGTGGCACATACCTGTAATCCCAGCAGCTCAGGAGGCTGGGGTAGGAGGATAGCAGAGTTCAAAGTCAGCCTGAGCAATTTAGGAAGACTCCAAGAAATCTTGGGAGACTGTGTCTCTAAATAAAATATAAAAAGAGCTGAGTATGTGGCTCAGTGGTTGAGTGCCCCTAGAAAATCCCTGTACAAACAAACAAAACACACAAAAGAACTGCTATGTATTACCTGATATCATTTTACACCATAAAATTTGTAGGATAAATTCCCAAAAGTGGAGTTTTTGAGTCAAACATTATGTATTATTTTCATAATTATTGTCTTATTGCCCTTACATCTTTTTTTTTTCTATTTATTTTTTAGTATTTGGCGGACACAACATCTTTGTTTGTATGTGGTGCTGAGGATCGAACCTGGGCCGCACGCATGCCAGGCGAGGGCGCTACCACTTGAGCCACATCCCCAGCCCCAACCCTTACATCTTTAAAAAAAAAATTATACTTAACTTTTAGGTGGACCCAATATCTTTATTTTACACTTATGTGGTGCTGAGGATGGAACCCAGTGCCTAGAGTATGCTAGGCAGCACTCTACCACTGAGCCACAATCCTAGGCCCTCCCCTTACATCTAGTACCAATTCAAGCTCCAGTTGGTGATATATGTTAGAGACTGCTCTCAGCCTCATTGTCCCCTCCCCACCCCCAAGCAAGCAAAGGTGATTTCAAACTTTTGAATTTTTGCCAATCTGAATGGTATTGCAGTGTAGTATTGGTTTTCATTTCTTTGTTTATGTCCAAAATTGAATGTCTTTTCAAATGTTTAGATATCTTTGGGTCTGTTTTTCTACTGTTTGTATGTTAGCTTTATGAGAAATGCTCATTCATGTATTCATCCATTCATAATGTAAATGCCAAAGGGGTTCTGACTCTTCAGTATCCAGGGGAGTTCTTGGAGAGGGGTGACAAGTGGGGTCCTTGGCATATGTGGCAGAAAGAATTTCAGCATGCACCAATTAGAGACAGATTTATTTAGGAATCCAGGTATGCCAGGTGTGGTGGCGTACACCTGTAATCCCAGCGACTCACGAGGGTGGATGCAGGAGGATGACAAGTTTGGATCAGCCTGGGCAATTTAGAAAGACCTATCTATCGCAAAGACCTATCAGTTGTAAAGTGCCCCTGGCTTCAATCCCTGTTTAAAAAACAAAACAACAAAAAACAAAGGAAAGCTGATACACATTCAAGGGAGAATGTGGGCTACCTTCTATGTTGAAAGTGAGAAGCTTTTGGGGTGAAAGAAACAAAAATATTCAAGAGAAAATGTGGGCCATCTCTAAAGGGAAATAGAGCAACTCTTCGCTCTAGCCCGAAAATTTTTATACCGAGACAGTAGTTACCGGACGAACTAGAGGTGGAGACAGGGCGGAGTCATGCAATTTCGTGCCTGTTTTTCTTGCGCTTGCGCTTTACCCTTACATCCTGTTAACTTTTTGCCTCGAGGACTCTGGCCAAGGACGTGAGCCTTGACGTGAGCAGCTCAAGAGTTGCTTGTTTTGCGTTTCAAAGGTTCATGGGTGGTTCTTGGGTGGTTCCTGTTTTTTCAAATCCCTGTCTCAACAGACTTAGTACAGGTAGATTTGAGGGACTCAGGCCCTGCCCTCCTAGAACACGCTCTCTGGTGAGGACAAAGACTTACATACATTTATATTTGTGCACCTATATATGTAATATACATGGAAAAAGGCTTAGCTATATACTGAAATTAACAGAAATGATCTTTAAATCGAAGTGATTATTTGTGCTTCTCTCTATATTTAAGCTTTTTGTAATGTACATATATTGTAGTAGAAGTTGGGTGATTTCTCCTTTGTTCATTTTCTGAATTTTTAACGATTTTGTAAAAACAGGGAACGTTTTTTGATTTTTACAATTAGGAAAAAGAAATAATACGAAAACACCATGCGTACATACATAAACACGTTTACCTATATTTTAAATATAAAAAAGAAGCAGAAGACTTCTTTCTCTATGACGACTAGCAGTTTGAAGAGGCAGTGGTAGAAATGTTTTCAGAGCTCTTGCGTGGCTGGTCAGTGTTTCTAGTTCCAGTGAAGACTTCGCTCACCAGAAAAACCTAATACTTGTCTCTCTTTAGCTAGACAGCCTCAATTACATCTGACAAAACAAGAACCTAGGAGCATCTTGTGTAAATCCGATCCCAGCGTCCAAGCTGCAATTTCCCTTTTCCGAGGCCAACATCAGGCTTAGTATCCAAGAGCGACCCCTGTTGGTGCAATTTGAGTATTCATGAGCTTGGTCAGGGTGAGGAGGATTGAGGTTTTAGTTTTTGCTTGTCTGCCTGAAACCCTGAGGGCCACAGTCCACCCACATGGCTGCATCCTGCTTCCCAGCTCTCCTTGTTTCCTCACTCCCTAGATTTTCCTGGGAAAGCCAGGACTGGGGGCTTGGCATATAGAGTCACAGTTGTGGACAGCCTTTAGACTCTGTAGGGGAAGCTTCGGTAGGGGCTGGAGGGCTGGCTGTGCTAGTCAGCAGGTAGAGTGTGGTGACCCTTGCTTTGAGGGGCAAATGTGAAATCCAGCCAGCCGAATAGAAAATTCCAGACATGGGCAGCAGTGAATGGATGTATTACATGGGATGTGGAGAGGGGCTGTATCCTTGCTGAAGAAGGTGGCCTGGAGAAAAATGTGGAGAAGGGAGGAAGGGCAGGGCTCTGGATGAAAGATCATAGCACTTCTGAGTATTTTTCTTCTTTCTGGAGACTCAGCTGAGGGATTCTGGCAAAACCCAGAAAGCTAACAGCTCCCTTCTTTTGACTAGCTCTTATCTCTGCATTTAGAAGACCCTGGATTTAAGAAAGTGTGGATAGTAAATACACCAGGTTAATGTTGCCAACGTTATTCTTTAAAAATTTAACCAGCACACCCCGTCCATCACTGTGCACTGAATGCAAGTGCTGAGTGGAGATCTGGCTGGAGAATCTGGTTTTAAATGTGAGGAGCCTGTTTGTAATTCATCACCATTTCTCTTTTCCCCTGGGTATTGGTCTATGATAAAGAAAACTGGATACCAGAGGAATGTGCTAGGCACTTCTGAGCTTGGAGAAAGCATGACTAAGCACTTCCCAGGGCCCATCCCTGGGAAGGCAAGAATCTTTCTTTAATGCTTCAGTTCTCAGATGCCTGCTGAGCTGGCCTCTCAATAGAATGCTGCCTGGTTGCACTCATATTTTGAACCTCAAATGTACTCTGTGTCTATGGGAGAGGGTAAAAATCTTACTTGTCACTTCAAGCTGGGCTGATCCAAGGCTGTCAAATGCTCTGGGTCAAATGCTCAGTATCTTCCCTCTTGCTTCTCACAAATGTTTGTGGGTTGGGTGTCTGGGTGCTCCATAAGAAAGGAAAGGAAACAGGAATCATGGTATGAGGACTCAGCGGGGACACTGAGATAGGTTCCATTTTATTTTCCAGGAAAGGACAGTGTGGGAAGTGAGGCTTGCTATAGATTCAGCTCATTACTTCCTAAGAAGGAAGGGTTGAGAATCTTGATCATTGTCTCCAGTAAGGATCAAGTCCAGTTTTCTAGAAAGGCCTGGAGGTGGAATGATGGGCTTCTCTGGCATAGTCAAATGACCGAAAGTTTCTGTCCACGCCCAGCAGATATGATCAAAGACATCCAAAGCTTCTGTTTGGCCATAGTCTGGACCAAAAGCCCACACTTAGATTCCTGGAGCTAGCATGTAATGCCCAGAGTGAAGATTTTCATGCAGAGTTGATTCTCACACCACACTGGATGGAAAAAAGAAGGAAATGTGTATTCTAGGAGGTTCCAGTGAAACCAGGGGAAGGGTCTGAGTGGCAAAGTAGAAAAGGGAAAGGACAGAGAATAGACATCAAAGTCCTATTTTTACAGATTAAAACAAACAGAAAACAAACAAATGAACCTCCAAACCATCCTGAGATCCAGAGAGAGGAAGTAGCTGGCCCAAGGTCACATAGCAAGTTAATGGCAGAATTAAGAGGGGATTCCAGATTTTCTGGGGAATTGTTGTCATGGGCTCTTTCCATTAGTACTATTTTCGTGGGCAGGAGAATATCTCACTGGTCACCTTCTTGCTTTGATCCTTGAGAAATTTGGCCTGTCCAGTCCAAGAAGTGCAGAGCCCTCCTGCACTCTAACTTACTGAGCACCTGTTAAGTGCCTGGAACTCATAATTCCCTGATGTCATTTAAATCCTCTCAATAGTCTTTTGAGAATCCATTTTTCTTATGTAGAAACTGAGGCTCAGAGGGGTTAAGACCCTTGTCCTATGGTTACATAACTGGCATGTCTAGATCCAGTTTCAAACCAAGGTCTCTAGTTGAAAGCCCACATATTTTTCTCTTGGAGGATTTGCTAAGACAAAGACCAGAATCTTTATGTCCACTTTTTTTCTCATGAGTTACTGGGGTGTGGGGGGATAGATTCTGAGACTTCGCAGCCCGGAATCCCGGCGATTCTGTGGCATACATAGACTTTTCTCCTTTCTCCGAGCCTGTTCTTTGGGAAAATCGCGGGTGAAAACCGGGGTTCATGCCTGAGCAGGCGACCCCAGCCCTCCAGGCCGGGCATGCTCCCGGCGCTCCACCTTGTCCCGGGCTCCAGCGCCCTCGCCCGGCGGCCGCTGCGGGTCTCGCGCACCAGGCTCTGGGGCTCGGGTCTGCGTCTCTGGGAGCTGCCGCCAGAGCCCGCCCGGCCCCGGCCAGGGCGCAGGGCCCCCGCCCCACTTCTGCGGGGCGGGGGGACGCCTCTTCCGAGGCAGGGGGGAGCTTCGGTGCCGCGCGGGCGCAGGGGCTGGGGTGGGGGGGAGGAGTCAGCCTATAAAAGCGGCTATAAAAGCGGCCGCTCGGTCTGGAGACTGCGAGTGAGCGCGAGCAGATCCTGGCTCAGTGCAAGCGGGCGAAGCTGTGTGCGCAAAGCGGCGCGCGGGTGCAGTGGCCGGGCACCGGGAGCTAGCCAGGTTGAGTGGGCTTAGGTCTGAACCGCGACTTCCCAGACTTCCCTGCTTGCCAATGCTCCAGGAGCTCTCGGCGCCCAGTGGTCAGCGAACGAACGTCCGGGCTGTTGCGCTCCTGGCCAGCGAGGCGTGGCAGTCTCAGTCACCGACCCGGAGGTAAGAGGGCCCGGCCGGGGTCTCCATGGCTTCTCGGCCGACCCCAGCCTCGGAGGGGAGGGAAGAACCCAGGTCCCGCGCCTCCGCCTGGCTTAGGGGAAGTGTTTACCGCCCTCGGCTTCTGTTTGTCCCTGTGCTGTGTAGTCTGCCTCTGTCTGTCCAAGCGTCTGTTGATGGGCACACGCCCCTGTCTCTGTCCTCTGTGAGATATCTCTAAGATCTGTGATTCTTTACAAGCGGCAGGTGTCAGGGGGCGCTGGTGTCCCCAGAGCACATTCAGCGGGAAACAGATATCTGCTTTTCGGTAGATTTCCCCCCTTCTGAATGTCAAGGGAGACTCTAGCCCCGGACAGTATCTCGCCAAAGAGGGACTATCTTGAAGGACCAGGACTCGGACAGAGCCCAGCCATTAGGGAGCCAGCTCAGACTGTGCACTAGTGGGCGTGCGCCTAGCAACAGGTCTTCGCCCTGCTGCTTCTGGCTCAGCACGGTCTTCCCTCTGGTTTCCCATCGTCTCCTCCAGCCTCTCAGGACAACGTTAGGCACCCAGAGACAAGCTAGAGCGGGGCGGGCAGAGGCAATAGGATGTTAGATGACCGAGGGCCCCTGCTGATATTTAAACTGAGATGCTAAACTGGCAGCGCTGGAAGATTTGCTGGTCCTTGGCAAGGGACACCGGTCCGCTGCGAGATGGGTTGCATTAGGTTGAGAGGAAAGACAGGATCCTGGAAGGGTCGTGGTCAGGTCTCCAGCTCTCCGCTTTGGAACCGAGGGCCAGTGACATTCTGGAATGGACCCCACGGGATGCATAAGCTCATGAGAATGGAGCGCACTGCGCCCGGGTCCCTCAGCCGCAGACTCGCTCTCAGCAACCGCCGCCGTTCCCCGAGGGTCGGATACCACGGCCATCCCAGGCATGCAGCCAGCAGCCGGGTTTGAGGTTCTGAGTCCTGCTCCGAGCAGCCAACCCTGTCCACAGGTAAGAACTCCCTTTCAAAACTAACCTTTTGATGTGTGAGCCAGTGCCTGGCTGCAGCCCCATCCCGGAGACGGTGAGCCCGGGAGCCGGTCCCTCAGTCTCCGCGGTCTGGATAGGGATTCCAGGCGCGCCCGGGGGCGGGGAGCCGGCGGCGCTGCGTGCCCAGGCGCGGCGCCACCATGGACAGCTCCCAGCCACTTCCTCCACTCGGGGTCTGTGGCCCTGGGTCTCCCGGGAAGTCACCCGCTTTCCTGTCAGATCCAAGATGTTGAGGCTCTGCAAAGAAGAGAGGAACTGACAGTAAGAGGGGACCCTTGGTGTTCTATCCCCAGGCGGCACAGACCACTCAGGAGGTCGCTTACCCTACCGCAGTGTGGTTTGTGACCAGTTCCTAGCTGAGCCTGCAGCTGACTCTGTAGGACGTCTCCGTGTCGCCTGGGGCTTCCTTGGCTTCTCTGGGACAACACGGGGACCCTTCAGAGGTGTTATGAATGTGTGACCCTTGAGTATCTGACGAAGGCAGTGAGATAATACCAGACTGAACTCAAACGGCTTTCTATGTAGGACATAAGGTCGTGTGTTCTATTTTTAAATTATTTAAGAAACATAATTTTGGGAGAATATATGAGTTTCACAGTTAATGCCAGGATAGAGAAGAATTCAAACAGAACAAATGTACAAAAAAATGCATTTGAATGCATTTGCCAAGGCAACTATGCTATTTTGTGATCCTAATAGTTTCCTCCAAAGGGATAATGAAGCAGCTTTCAAAGGCTCCTCGGTAGCCCAGTAGATGAATGTTCAAGTTGGTTACTTGGAAACAGGAAGAGAAAACCTGTGGGAGTTAATCTGTACACCAAATTAAACATCTCTCTCCTCCAGTAAGAAATGACACTCTATGCCCGGGGCTTTTCTTTTTGTCATCCCTATCTACACAGAGGTGTGTATCTCCCTTTATTTTACAATCATAAGAAACTTGGGAGGTCTTTTCTGAAGACCAACAGGGGTAAAAATAATAAGGCAAGTCTTTTTGTTTTGAGACAATGTCTGTGACTTTTGGAAAGTCAGTTACAGTTTTTGTGCTGTTTCCTCATCTGTAAACTGGGAATAATACACTCTACCTTTCAGGATTGTTATGAGACTTAATTGACACAGTTAAGCTTTTAGCCTAGTCTTGGGCACAGAGAATACTTCTTAAATGCTATTGATTATAGATATATTTTAAAGATATTTTTGCATTTTTTTGAACTATGTTCTCTGTACTCTCTCCTAATCTAATAACTATTTGATAGAGACCCTATCTTCACTCTATTTTCACATTCAAGATCTTGATGGAATTGATGAAAGAGCTGACATTGATAGCAGTGCCAAAAACATTCATATTTAAAGATAGATGGAAGACTTTTTTATGTGACACAAATCAGTTAACTATCTTTCCCGCTTATTCCACTTTAGAGGAAAGATAAAGGTCATTTTCAAAAGATGTTCACAGTCCTCTGTTTCAGATAATTAATTCTTCCTATTTTTTTCTCTCATAAGAATTCAAGATCTTATAAGAGTCCTTATTGTCTTTCTTGATATTGGAGGAGAGGTCCCCAAGCCCAGTTCCTGGGTTGCTCCAGGCTGAGTGTAGGCTAGCTGTGTTGTCAGGCCTGGTCAAGGAGGCCATGAGTGGTAATTGTTATGCAAGAGCATATTTCTTCATGTCAGAGACTTGCTTGAGTGTGAGATCCTGGCCAAGACACTTGTTCACACTTTTTTTTTTAGTCCCAGCTGAATTTGAAAGGCCCCATCAACTCTGCATTTTGGGGCCATATCTGGTAGAAATCACAAGTATATAGATAATGAAGTTGTAAAGTACTCAGTTTTTCACTTATATTTCCTTACCCCAAAAGTGCGTGTGTGTGTGTGTGTGTGTGTGTGTGTGTGTATGCATACATGCCAGTTTCACATTCTGGTGCCCTTAGATTTTCCTTCTTTTTTCTCCCTTAATAGATCAAAAGGAATCTTAGCTTCCTCCATCTGAAAGGAGTAAAGCTCAGGAATAGTCTATGGACACTGGGAGTCTTTCTGAGACTTTCATCCACTGGTGATGTGACTAGAGCAGAAGGACATTTTCCCCTGGCTGACCTTGAAGTCCAGGCTCTCTTCTGTGGACTCCCATGCAGTTTCCAGTTCGCTGCATACTCATGACTTTATGGTAAGAAAACTATTGAACTATGGATTAGTCTTGATCAGCAGGACCCATGAGGGATGGGGGAAGTGGCATGAGTGGAGGTAAGGAGCTTTTCGTTGGTTCTGTGGCAGCTTGTCTGTTGCAGCAGTGTCTGAGTCCCCAGAGACAGATAGATCAAATGGCAACAGTGGCATTTAGCAATAAAGGCCAGTGGGATGGGAAAGGTGAGTTTAGTGACTCTCATTAGCCTCCTTTGAAGCCTGTCACTTCAATGACCTCCATTAGTAACTCTGTGGTGTGGGCAGAGCAGTATCATTTGATGGATTAAATGCATTTGTAGTTACAGCTTAAAAGAGAAACTCAAGTATGTAAGGTGGGTTCCTAAAAGGGAAAAAAGTTATATTTTGTGGACAGCATCCACAAGATTCAATATACATAAAAAGTCCAGGCTGCACATATTACATATATCTTTGTTCATGGTGGCAAATACCCAGATGTTTGATCTTACTTGGGTAATGCATTTGCTGTCCCCCCTTCCCCCATGGTTATGTGAAAATAGAATGAAGATAGGGTCCCTATCAAATAGTTTTTAGGTTCAAAAAATGCACAAATATCTTTAAAATATATCTATAATCAATGGCATTTTAGAAGTATTCTGTGTGCCCAGCACTAGGCTATGTTTCAGTTTCCTTTGGACACTGAATGTGAAAGGACCTAATTTTTACTCTCTTGTATCTGCTTGGGTCAGAAGGAGGATAACAGTGGCCATGGGTACTGGAGGAGACTTCTCAGTGCTACTTTTCCTTCTGTTATTTTGCTAGCAGCTCTGCGGGTCTGAGCCTCCTTTCCTTCCTGCTCACTTTGCAAATTGGGTAGGATGATGGTTATCATGGTGACTTTTATTAATCTCTGTACCTTCTTGTTCAGCCACTTCCTTCAGCGCCATTCTAGCCTCTCTGGTGGAGTCCCTGGTCCTTTTTTTTCCCCCTGTTTTCTCTGATGCCAGGCTTTGTTCAAGCTTGCTTCTTTGGATGGCAGGCTGCTTGCAGAGAAATGTCATCAAATATACATTCACTGCCTGCTTAGTTCCCTCACTGCCAAGAAATACACATACCCACCCAGCAGGAGAGGAGCTCCTGCTCCTCCCCATCCCTGTTATTTTTCCAGGACCCATTTCTAGGCTCAGCTTGGCTCCTCTAGACTCTGCTTGGCTCCAGGAATCTGAATACATTCTTCTCTTTCTACCCCTGCAGGTGAGTGAGCCTTGGAAAGCAAAGGCATAGAGGCACCTGTGCAGAGCAAGGCTCCCTCTCCCCAGCTCTGGATAGCCTGGCTCCTTGCATTGAGGAATTGCTGAGGCATTATCTTTGAATCTTTTGCAAGGGCAGCTGTATCATGAGTTTAGATACAACTTGAGTTTAAAGAGCTTGGACCAGATAACTGTTTTTGAAAACCCTCTGTATTTCTTTCTCTTGGCTGTCTGTTAAAGAGCTTAACTATTAAGCATTTTATGTTACAGGGAAGGCAAGGTCCACAGGCTGGTGGTTTTGGCACAGAGAGTCTCCATCTTGTTTCTAGGCATTATGTTGGGGCAGGAGGGCTACAGGCTTCCTCAACAAGCTGCTTCACTGATAGTCCTCTCTGGGCTGGGAAATCCCTGCTATTGGTCTGACTCTTCATGACTGCAAGGTGTGGACAGCACCAGGAACTGAGGACAGTGCAATGGCTTCCTTTTCTGTGGCTTTGCCAGTTAGGAAAGATGAGACCCATTGGAGTGTTCCTTGGGGACTGGATTAAAGGCGATGCATTGTGACTCTGCTCTCTACCTGGGCCAACTGACAAAGCTTGGGCAGGTTCCTCAGCTCCTCTAGTCTTCTATTTCTTTACTGAAAAATGAATGGATTAAGTTAGATGGCCCTTCTTGGACTTGAATATGCAAATGAGCCAGAGAGACACTTGTTAATGTGTGAGTTCTGATTAGGCACATCTGGGGTGAAGGCTGAAGGTCTGCCTACTTGCTGTTCTTCCTTCTTTCCTTCCTTCCTTTCTTCCTCCCTCCCTTTTGTCTTTCTTTGTTCAGTACTGGGGATTGAATCCAGGGATTCTACGACTGAGCTTATACCCTCAGCATTTTTCATTTTTTATTTTGAGACAGGGTCTTGCTAAGTTGCCCCGACTGGCCTGGAACTTGTGATCCTCCTGTCCCAGCCTCCTGAGTTGCTGGGAGAGGATCTGCATTTTTAACAAGCTCCCAGGTGATTGCTTCTGGCCCTGAGTTCCCTTCAAGTGGTGAGTGCCTACATCATCATTGACTTTCTAACTCATTTTGGTGTCATTTAAGTCAATTTCTGATGTCCAAGTCATGGAGTCCAGCTGTCCTTTGCTCTCCTGGTGACCTTTTATTGACCCTTCAAATTCTTGGAAATAATTGTTGTCGCTCCTAAGCTGCCTTATCAGCAGACTAAATATCTTGAACTTCTTTTTTTTTTTTTTCATTTATTTATTTTTGCTTTTTAAAATTTTATTGTATTTTCAATGGAGAAATACATCATCTGTTTACAAAATAGCTCTTGAAAAATACAAGGTATAGTTACTATAAAACAAAGCAGACTCCAGTCATGAGTCATTACATATCTTGAACTTCTTTAAGTTTCCTCCTTTCCTTGTCATAATAAATTTGCAAAGCTTTCTGGATGAAGTTACTTTTAAGTGCAAGACCATTGTGCAAATGGCAATTTATCTTTGCCTGGCAGAGGCATTTGAATGTAATTTTGGTGGTATTAAGAGATCACTTGGGAATTTCATCAAACTCTGGTCCCAGACACTGAGAATGCATGTTTACATTTAAACAACTTTTCTTGAGTCAAAAAAGATCACTTTTTTTAAACCTGAAAGTGAAATTTAAAGCCCAGTTTTGTTCTTCAGCTTCCTTCCCTGCAGCATTCTTGGGTGGATTGCAAATACATTCTGGGAGCCCAAGATGCAGTTTTGCAATTGCATTGTTATTTACCACCATATATGGAAACCAAAACCAAATAGAGTACACATTTTTGATTATCTTCTTTATGGCAGGCCCTGAATTAGCCACTTGGAAGGCAGAGTTGAAAACATGGTCCTCAATCTCAGGGAGCTAACAGTCTAGCGGGGGAGATAGATATGGAAGATAGGAGTTTCCCTGCAGTGTGATGGGGACCAGGACAGATGGGTCACAAGAGTAGAGGTCAGATTACCTACTAGGAGATGAAGGACGTTAAATCAGAGGATTAACTTGCTATGTCTTTTCAATATTCCAATATCTTGTGGGGTTTTTGTATCAACAATTTTCAAAGAAATGGAAGTGGAGTGGAGTTACCTTGTGTGTGACAATGTAACAAATACAGGGTACAAGGATTACCAGTGAGAAAGACTAAATAACAGGTGCTAGTGCAGAAAACTCAAGTTAGAGCTGACCATGGGCAGATGGAGCTATGAGTGTCTTGTAAAAATAGGCCTTTTACTTTCAACCTTGCCAATCAACCTTAAAACTTCTAGACTTTTCATATTCTATAAAAACTGGCAAGGGAAAAATATTATTTCTGGGATGTGAAAGTCAAGAAATCACAATCAGGATTATGCATCTATTTTCAACAATGTAAAGAAGCCAATTTGAATGCAAAATGGTTTTGAAAGTGGGGTTTGAAAGGTCAGATGGGCCTGGGGATGTGGTTCAGTAGTACAGTGGTTGACAAGCATGCATGAGGCCCTGGGCTCTACCTTGCATTAAAAACAAAACAAAACAAAAAAGAGCTCCAGGAGGCCCTGAATGAGCAGAATGCTCCAATCCAACAGCTGTACCTTCTGTGTGCCTCCTATAGGGCTGGCAGTGTGGTTCAGTGGTAGCGTGCTTGTGTAGCATTGAGGTTCTGGCTTTGATCCCCAGCACCACAAAGAAGAAAAACAGAAGAACTGTGTGCCTCTCATAAGGAGGAAATTAGTATCCTTAGTGGGACAACACCAAGATAGCCAACTCCTCACTGATAGGTGGTCGTAAGTCCTTCAAAAGTGATCCAAGGAACCACTACAAAATAACCATATAAATTATTGAAAATGATAATATCTTGTTCAGTTCAGTCAGTCTTCTGGAAGAACCAGTATTGTACTGGTTATATGAGGAAACTTGATAGAGGGAAGGGCACCTGGAAGATGGCTTTCCTTCCACCAACCTGCTGTGCTGTGTGGTGTCAGGGAAGCCTGGAGTGTGGAAATCAGCAGCTTTACTCTTCAGGGGCATCTGACCCCCTGTCCAGAGGCCTTTCCATTGCTCCACATCAGATGCCCTACTGAAGACAGACTCTCAACCACAGGGATTCAGCCTCTCCCTTCTTCCTAGGTCTTTGCTCAGGGCCAGGCTTAGGTTAGCTCCTGTATTGCCTGAACCTCTTGACATAGGTGACCACAGTCCCTATGAACCTAGGTGCTAGCTGGCAGCAGGCCTGAGCTGTAGACCTGGATGCAGTGGTTACTGCCTGTGCTGTCACCATTTCTACTTCCTTTGGATTCACCTTCCCTCAAGGGGGGCAGTGGTGTCTTCAGGTGGGGCATGAGGAAACTGATTCCTGGGGCTACAGAGGGGTGCAGGGTGGTACCTTTGCTTCTGTCTGCTTCTAGTCCAAGGCATCTTTTGCCTGTCTTCTTCAGAGGATACTTGTTCATTCTGTGTGGTAGGGACACCTATTTCCAGTTTGGTCTTGAACTCACCTAAGCCTCCATCCCTGTGGGTATACAAAACTGTTCTCCTTCTTGTAAAGAACAGCAGGAAAAACTCCAAAAGGAGTGCAGAGGGGAGAAAGTTTGGGTGAGCCATTAAAAATGTTTATTTAAACAAACTGGTGGTTTATGACAAGCCTTTTATGGGCACTGAGTAATTTACTCTTATGCTCATTTTCCAAAGGTTTAGGTTCAGGAAAACCTCAAACATAGTGGCTAAGTACTTTTCCTTTCCTTCCATTCGAAAATCATGTTTATTTTCAGAGGAATTTAATCCA